AATGCATCCTTGCCTCACTCTTCTATCTATGGAGACTGCCTCTGTCAATTGATCATCCACTTTAATATTGGCTGTTTGGTTGTAATATAAATTATAGATGATTCTCAAGTCCCTATCATCTAACCCCACTTCTTTCAAGATGTTTATAAGTTTATCATGTTTTACTCTATCAAATGCCTTTTTGTAGTCGATAAAACAAATATACACATCGCAGTTAACATCCCTGCATCTTTGCATAAGCACTTGGATAGCGAATAGAGCCTCTCGGGTGAATAGTACACTAATCTTGTTGAATTAATGGAGAAATACTTGCAATTTCTAGTAACGAAACCAAGAAGTTTAGATGTCTTTATTGAAATAGAGTTTATGTGGTTACAGAAAGTAAGCTTCTCATCGAAAATAACACCCAAATCCCGAATAGAAGAAACATAATTCAGTGGCTGATTATTAATAGTATAGCTTGTTTCAATTCTATTGACTTTATGAGAAAACCTTGTGACTTACCAAGCCTGACAGTCCGGATTCGATCCTGGTATAGACAATTTTTTAATTTCTAATCTAACTGAGCCGCCAGCGTACTTCGGGGGATACGTAAGGTTACACCAGAAGGTTACCCGAATGGAAAATATACAGTAAGCCTCATTACTAATAATGCTTCAGTACGACCGCTTATATGTGGTAACAAACGGCTTCCGAATTCGTATTAGATCTTAATCGTAGTGTTATAGTAAAGTATAGAATCATTCTGAATATGCAAAATGTGGATTATTTTTTTCATTTGAAAATAATACGTATATAACGTCAGCCTGAACAATTTCAGTCGGATTCCTTTAAATCCTCAATTATACTCGTAATACTGTTCATGGAAATCTACGATCCAGTATAAAAATAACTACGCAAAACACCTAACCCTTCGATTGACAATGATGGATTTTATAGTTCTATTGCCAGTACAATGGGAAAAATACAATAAATAGAATTACCAACTATTTGAAGAACCACAAACGTTGGCATTGCATTTCACTAATAATGAGGAAGACATGACAAATTTTGGAAAATATTCTGCCACACATCAACATATTTGGTACTAGGGGAAAATGCTAAATATAGCGTAAAAATGTATATACTGGACAAATCAAAGTGCTCGTATTTGAATAAGCAACACGAATAAAGTTGTCAGGCTGCTGGAAGGAATATTCAAGGTTGGCTACAGTTTATTTATGGACAACTTATAGCAGCATGACTTTGGAGCAGTCTTTTCTAAAAGTAAATTACATGTTTCTGGGACACTAAGAGTAAATATAAAGGATAACCCAAAACACAAATAATAAGCAATTGAACAAGGAGGTAATAGGAACACAAATTATTGAATAACAACACACACCAACTGCCATGCTAACGAATTAATTAAAAATGTTGATAAACTATAATAAATTTATGAACGGTATTTCGCACTGTTTTTAGGAATTTATGTTAACATGTATGTAGTGTTTGGTGTTTAATTTTGATAACAATACTGATTCTCAATATTGTTAGGTACTTGGACAAAATATTACATCACATAAAACTTACAATTATTGATATTGATTTATTTGAAGATTTTAGAAACAAAATAATTCTAATTTTTATAATGATTTGGAATGGCATTTGAAATAAATATATTTTATTCACTGAACTCAGACCCAACTGACTAGTAAATTTACTAGGCAATTTTTTTCCTACCTTCGTCAAATTTCGACTGGAAAGTGACTGGAAGTTACTATATAACCAAGCACCAAGCGTGCTCATAGCTGATTTTAATATTATTCACATCAGTCGAAGATCTAGGGATACGCCAAAACATTCAAATTATATAATTTTCAATTTAGGCAGATTTTTATGCAACATAAATATATATAATAACGGATTGATTACGGCTGTCGCCGCTTCTCCACCCCCAATTTCCATCTTTTTCTGTCATATGCAGTTGCCTCTTCTAAGTCTCTTGCCGCCATTGCTTCATCAATATCTTTGCGCCGACTTCTCCATGGTCGTCCTCTCTTTCTTCTTTTAGGAGGGATCCATTCCAGTATTCTTCTAGGCCATATGTACTCTGGCATTCTTTTAACATGTCCGAACCAGATTAATTGTTTTCTTTCTATGTCATCATTGATATTTCGCTCCATTTTCATTTCGTTTCTTATTTGCTCGTTTCTAACTCTCTCCAGTTTCGATCTACCGCAGCTTCGTCTCAGATAATCCATTCTTGTCGTTATAAGTTTGTTTCTATTAGCTTTGGTGACGTCCCATACTTCCGAACCATAAAGTGTAATACTTTGGACTATACTACCGTAAATGTGTTTCTTGGTTTCTCGTCGAATTGTTTTTTGCCAGAGAAGAGAGTTTAAGGCACGAGTCGCTGCTCTGCCCTTGTTTATTCTTTCCCTGATTTCATCTGCGCTATTTCCCTTCTTGTTGAAAATGACCCCCAAATATTTGCAGGATTGTACGCCTTTGATTTTGTCGTCTTCCAAGACTAGGTCACATATTTCATCTGTTCCCACTGAGAGGTATTCACATTTTGTCATATTCATGTTTAGACCTGCCACCTCATATTCTTCTTGCAGTTTTCTTACCATATACTAAGATCGTAGCTGTTTTTGGCAATTACTACCTGGTCATCCGCAAAGAAAAGTGTATATAGCGTGTTTTCTTCCAACGTTATTCCCATGTTTTTACATTTTTTTACCAATTTTACTAACGATCTGTCCAAATAGATTTTAAATAAGGTGGGTGACAGACAGCAGCCTTGTCTTAGTCCCTTTGTTGTTTGAAAAGGAGAGGTGATTTCTTGTCCTATTTTAATTCTTGCAAAGTTTTGTTCGTAGTATTTTTGAGTGGCATTAATAAGAATTGGGTTTATTTTCAAGTTACCAATTTCTATCCATAGTTGGGAGATCGGTATACTGTCATATGCTTTTTCCAAATCTATTAAAGCTATATGGGTTTCTCTATTTCTCTGCACTCGTTTTTCCATTGCAATTTTTAATGTGAAAATATTATCCATAGTGGAGCGTCCGGTCCTAAATCCCGCTTGTTCTTCGGGTTGTTTGTCTTTAATATCATTTTCTATCAGGTTTCGTAGTACTTTTGAGTATAGTCGGCCTATAGTAGCAATCACTGCGATCCCTCTATAGTTGTTAGGATCCGTCTTTGCGTCTTTCTTGTGTATTGGAGAGATATACGATTGTCTCCATTCTTGTGGAACTTCTTCTCCGTTTAAGCATCTTTCGAATAATTTTCGGATCATTTCAAACAGTTTTGCTGATCCATACCTAATCAACTCCGTATTCCGCCTGGGCCTGAAGATTTTCTTAATTTCATTCCCTTAACTGCTTCTTTCACTTGTTCTATTAATATTTCTATTCTTCCTTCTACTTCCACTTGTTTATTTGTCTGTTTAAACCTTTCTCTTCTCTATGTTAATAAGTTCTCGAAATGCTCTACCCATGTGTTCTCTGGTATTCTGTTTATTATGACCTGGTTTTTTGTCGTTGTTCTCATCGTTTTTATAGATCTCCAAGCTTCAGAGCTCTTTGTCCCTCCGATATGGCTGTCTAAGTATTGGCATTTTTGTTCCCACGCACTATTTTTCTTTTTAACCACTTCTCGTTTGACTTCTTTATTCAAGTTTATTATATTGTTGTTTTGTTTTTTCGTCTCCCTGTTGTAATAACTTTTGATATACTTCCTTCTTTTCTTCTACTTCTTTATCCCACCAATATGGTTTATCTATTCTCCGTACCTGTGGCCCTAAGACTTCTAGCGCTGCGTCTTTCTTGCAGTTTTTTATATGTTCGTATTCATCCGTCGTGGATCGGTGTGATTCCTGTAGTTTTTGTGTTAGTCTCCAGGAGTAAAGTAACTGTGTGCTCTCGTTATCTAGATTGTCTAAGGTGTACGTAGTTCTTTCTATTTTTTCTCTGTGTTCTTTGTTGATGTCTGTGTGGTTCCTGTCTACGAATGGTGTATATATTTTTCCTATTATCAGGCAGTGGCCCGAGCCACACTCTGCTCCTCTATTCACCTTTACGTCCTGTATGGCTTAATTCAATCTAACCATCTCATTCACAGTCGGCCTCTGCTTTACCTTCCTACAGGTGTTCCGGTTGTTTAGTTTTTTAGCAATCGTTTTGTCTGGCATACGTAGTGTTCAGCCCATCTAAGTCGCTGTGTTTTAATGAACGTTACGACGTGACGTCTGGTTCATAAAGAGTTGACATTAAAGGCCACAAGGAAATAGTTTCAGAACCAAATTAATATATATGTCATTTGGAGCCATTTTTTTCTTTATAAATTTTTATTATTTGTAGGACATATTTTAATATAATGTGATGTAACGTACTTTTTTTTGGTACTCGTTTCATTATCGTAATATAACTGGACAGAATAATTCCTTTTCTTAATTACTTTGATTTGGATTTACTGATAACCGTTAGCTATTAACCCTATATTGTTCTGGTTGGAAAAATGCACATACACTCAGTTTTTCGTTCTTTTTTCACCACGGCTGTGATGTTCTATAATAATATCAATTTCTGGATACTTTTAGATATTTATTTTTTCTCATCATCAGTTTTAAAATTAGAATAAATGAGGAAGGGGGTATGGATTGGTATTCCCCGCCCCCGCTTTTCACCTCACTGTACTTTTTACTTCATATTATTAGTCGCTTCATAATCATAATATAGATTCACCTCCAGCCATTACAGACATTTTCATTTGTTTCGAAAACCAGTTTTGGTACTTCGATACCTAAGTTAATGTAAACAAATACGTAATTTAATGTTGAACCGGTATTTTGTTGAAAAGATAATTTAAAAAAATAGTTGGCAATTAAAAATATATCAAAATAGGTTCATATTACTTTCAGTGTTTTATTTAAATATTCATTAACATTAAGTACGTAAGTAAATGACTTTACACTAACGATTTATGAACATTTTACATTTTTGTTGTAGAAAAACATCAACTTTTCTGTGATATCTCCAAGAAAAATTCCGTCGTTATACAAATTATTCGAAAAAGCTGGAGGTGATTTGAGTTCTTCTCAAACTAAGAATTATGCGAAGGATCCAAGACATCTTGTTTTGCTCAAAGGATTTAGGTAAATATCCAAGTAATTATTGTTTTGTATACTCATATATTTATTAGTTCGTCTTCGACTGGTATTAAAATAAACAAACTAATACTATATTTCTCTATCGAAGTTAAATCTTTTGTATATATTATTTTTACTAAAATATCTAGTTATGTAAGTAATAAGATTATTAAATTTTTAAAATGTTTGGAATAGAGGTGCTAAAACCTGCGATTTTTTTCAAATTATTTATCTCACAATCGAACAGAAAAGCAGGGTTGTAAAATAACTATTTACTAGTAACCACCTACTAGTTACTGTAGATCAAAACCACTTGTGACCAATCACAAAATTTGGTGACCAATATATTCAAGAATGTGAACTTTGACATTAACCGACTTTTAAAATTTTTAACCAGTTAAGCACTATCATTAAGTTCTTGTAAATATTTGCTTCTTCTAAAGAGAAGTCTGTAAGTATTTAGATCGTTTACATACTATGATTCAGAAGCTTATTTGTCAATTATTATGTTATTTGTTAATGTTATTTGTTAATAACAATTCCTACAATGTAATGATAATAAAAATGAATTAGAACAATAAGAAAGTTACGATAAATATTCAAACTGTTGGTAGTTTATTTGTAAGCACATTCTACATCCTTTTCTCATTGCTTGAATTTTCGCTGTTCAATCTTCCTCAGTTTCGCCCATAGTTTTGTACACTAAAGACTAACTCCCATATCACGTGACTGGAAAGCAACATTTCCTCTTTTATCTCCGCGTGTGGTATAGTTGGTCGGAAGCACAAAATCTAAAAATAATAATATTAGAGTGCCTGTAGGTACAGTGTAATTAATTTAAAATGCCACAAGAAAATAGCTTCAGAACAATATTATCATACTGGCATTTGATATACAATGATGAGTGCCTTAAGAACTGGCAAAATAACGCAAAAGATAGAAAACAAAATACGTTGTGAAATAAACAGAGATGGAACTAGTAGAGGTGGAAAATTATCGATAGAAACCTACAATTTACATTATATTACATTAAGACTGTCGATAATTTCCCACTTTTAGACGTTAGCTTCTGAGCTAGTTGACTTCAGTCATAATTATAGGTATGAAGTCGAACATTAAATTTTTTAAATTTCGCATAAAGTAAAAACTGATGTGTATGCAACGTTTCAAATCATAGTAGGAATTATTCTTGATTAATAATTTAATTTTGGATCAAAAATTACTACTAATTAGAATGTTTTTACTTACATTTGCTTTATTGCCTTAAATCAGTTCTTACTTTATGCAAAATTAAAAATATTAATGTTCGACGTGATAATTTTCCACCTCTACTAGTTTCATCTCTTTTTATTTCACAACGTATCATATTTTTTATCTTTTGCGTTATTTTGCCGGTTCTTAAGGCCCTCATCCCTGTGTATGCTCTGGTACTCCTAGCTATGAGATAGAGATCGGAGTGAATATTAGCGCCTCTGTAACTTCTGCAGTGTAATATATTTTTGATCCATGTCTTGAATCAATCACTTGAATCCACTTTATGTATACTCTTATGTTGGAAGTATGTATTACTGATCGTCATGTTCAGAGATGTTGCGAAATTTACAAGTCTCGTCTCATTATAATGACATTCTTCGTGTATGCTATAAGCTCCTCTGGTTGGTCTGTAAATCTCTTCTTGTCTTACCTTAGCGTTCATGTCCCCAATAATTAAATTAAACGTTGTTATTGGGATATTGTCTATATATTTGTTCTTCTTTTTCTTTGTCTATTTTATCCTTGGTGGGAGCATGTGTATTTATGAGAGTGTAGTTAAAGAATGTTCCACGTATTCTTAGAACACGTATTCTATTATTTATAACGTAAAACCTACTATTAGGTTACTAACCTACTATTAGGTTACTAACTTTCTTGCTACTACAAACCCTACAGCAAAGATATGTTGCATTTGATGCAGGCTATAGTATATTGTATTAAAATTCTTCTGGATAGTACCGGTCCCTTTCCATCGTACCTCCTGTATAGCTATTATGTCCATATTATATTTCTTAAGAGTATCTAAGAGGCATCTCACCGCTCCTGCAGAGTGCAATGTTCTCACGTTCCATGATCCAAATCGAATATCCTTTTTTTATTTGCCATAAGTAACCCTCAGACTCGGAGGACCAGGGACCCGCCAGTTTTATGACCAGTCAGGGCGTTCACCTATTTACCACCTGGGAACGAGTCCGATGGTAGACACACCACTTCATACGGATGCAACTGAGATAGTTCAAATTAAAAAATCATTTTTGAATTCTTCGTTGAATTAGCGACAAAAATCTTCTTTTTTTTTCATTTTTTTTTTTCATACGAGGCGCCGTTTTTATGCAAAAAAAAATAAAACATGATAACAAGTATTTTTCATTTCTTTAATACATTCTCAACAACTATCCAATACAATAATATTAACCAGAACAAAAACAGAAAGTACCACTAATAAAATTTTAAATATTCGCAAAGCTACAAAGAATAGGTACGTCAACAAACGGAATTGTCGAATTTGGGATGATATCAATCCAGATGAGATCCAAGAGCGTGCAATGCATCGAAAACTCATCTTTGGTATGGATTTTGGTCTGGTGGTGTCATCAGTCGTGGTCAACGCCGCTGGCAAGGCCATCCTCATGAGGTGTTATTATAACTAAAAGTTTTTTTGAAACTAACTTTTAGTTATAATAACCCCTAACAATTTTTAGAAGAATATTTTTTGAAAACAATTTCCGGAGTGGAAATCGGAACTTCAAACAATCAATGATAAAATTACCTAAATTTACCAATCAAGCAATTACCTAAACTTTGCGACGCCACAGTGATTTCTGAAGAATACTACAATACCGTAACATAGACAACGTGAATGCTGATGAAGCCTCTAGTGCCAGAATACGGGAATAGTTGTACATAAATTCTGTCGTAAATATATCAGTGTAACTTGAAGCTCATGTCTTCATTCTCTTTATAAAAAGAAAAAACCCTACTAAATATTTTTAATCAATAACTTTTTAATTATGAAATAATCACTTTTTAATCTTGTACACAGTCTAAAAGAACGGTCTGTAAGTCCACCACCAGGGGCAACGACCACAAGTCAGACACAAATAACAAATACTGGTATGCCGACAATGACATCATTGCCTAGTCCATTGCAGGGAAGTGATAGTCCAATACCAGGTAAGTGTTATTTTTAATTTTTGAATAATATATATTCATGGTATTCATTTGTAATTATTTAATTAATTAATTAATTAAAATTCAGTCCCAATGATAACGACGTCATGTTGAATTTACAATAGAAATAGAACAAATCAATCCATAAATTTTCTAGATTTAAAAATTATGAGACTTAAAGACAAATATGAGTTCTCCGTATTTCCCATACAACATAAATAGTAGCCTACCATAGCGTGTTACATTAGTTACATTAATTAACAGAAATTCCAATGTCAAAAATAACTTAGAATAGAATTAAATATCATTAAGCAAATAGCAGTAAACAATGGGGACAACGAACAAATAATAAATACAATTTTAAACCAAAAACTGCATAAGAAAGTCCCAAAATTAGTCTTTCCACCACCAGAGAACAAACCTAATACCTTTTGCTCGATTACATATAAAGGTAAGATATCAACAAAAATAGCCAAATACATAACAAAAGGAATAACAGCAGCTTTCGAAACAAACAATAACTTAAGTAGGTGAAGGTGAGGTTCACCAAAAAAATATAATTAAGGGTGTTTTTTCGGTGCACCAAAACCTAGGGACTGTTGTTTACCGACAAAATGTCTCGAAATTTGGACACAATATTCGAAATTATGTTGCTTTTAAAATGTTGGTTTTACTTTTTTTTTATTTTACTGTTTATACTGTTTAACGTTCTATTATAACCAAACTTTTTACGCCCATCACTTGAAAGAATTTTTTTTTCTGTAATCGTTGATTTTTTTCACCTTTCTGTGTCCAGTAATAATCGAGAAAAGCGTGTTCCAACTTTGAAGAAAATTGCTAAAAAATTGTAAAATCTAATAGTGAAACGTGTTACTCATCATTGTCGCTTAGTTTCACCGTTATCGCCTTCGTGACGTCAAATCTCATGAACGTACGGTCAGTTAGTTCGTGTTAAAACTAATTTGAATAGAGAGTAATGCATTTTTTGTCATTAAACTACCCGTAGGCTGCACCACTGAGTAAAGATAGTCTTGCGTAAGCAGTGTGGAAAAGTAAGTGATACGCCCATTTCAAATTGCAGTGTGCTTGAACTACTAAAACAGCCTTAAATTGAGACAAATAAATAAAAAGTAAAAGCAACATTATTATATCTAATAGTAAAATCTAATAGTGAAACGTGTTACTCATCATTGTCGCTTAGTTTTACCGTTATCGCCTTCGTGACGTCAAATCTCATGAACGTACGGTCAGTTAGTTCGTGTTAAAACTAATTTGAATAGAGAGTAATGCATTTTTTGTCATTAAACTACCCGTAGGCTGCACCACTGAGTAAAGATAGTTTTGCGTAAGCAGTGTAGAAAAGTAAGTGATACGCTCATTTCAAATTGCAGTGTGCTTGAACTGCTAAAACCGCCTTAAATTGAGACAAATAAATAAAAAGTAAAAGCAACATTATTATATCTAATAGTAAAATCTAATAGTGAAACGTGTTACTCATCATTGTCGCTTAGTTTTACCGTTATCGCCTTCGTGACGTCAAATCTCATGAACGTACGGTCAGTTAGTTCGTGTTAAAACTAATTTGAATAGAGAGTAATGCATTTTTTGTCATTAAACTACCCGTAGGCTGCACCACTGAGTAAAGATAGTCTTGCGTAAGCAGTGTAGAAAAGTAAGTGATACGCCCATTTCAAATTGCAGTGTGCTTGAACTACTAAAACAGCCTTAAATTGAGACAAATAAATAAAAAGTAAAAGCAACATTATTATATCTAATAGTAAAATCTAATAGTGAAACGTGTTACTCATCATTGTCGCTTAGTTTTACCGTTATCGCCTTCGTGACGTCAAATCTCATGAACGTACGGTCAGTTAGTTCGTGTTAAAACTAATTTGAATAGAGAGTAATGCATTTTTTGTCATTAAACTACCCGTAGGCTGCACCACTGAGTAAAGATAGTTTTGCGTAAGCAGTGTAGAAAAGTAAGTGATACGCTCATTTCAAATTGCAGTGTGCTTGAACTGCTAAAACCGCCTTAAATTGAGACAAATAAATAAAAAGTAAAAGCAACATTATTATATCTAAATTCTGAAATCAATTATTTATTCTCTTTTAATTAATCTACATATTAAAAAAAACAGCTAGCTTTGTTAGCGGTGCGGTAGGTACTTGACGGTCAAGCCCTGTCCTGTGTCACTTGCTGTGTATGATTCAGGAATAGGTGAATATCATTTTTGAAATGCGAAATTCATCTGCATAAGCGTTCACGGTTGCCATGGTAACGTGACGTCAGCCTGTCTCTAGTGATAATTGAGAAAAATAGCTTAGTGCAGTTCCGTTAAAAAATATATTATTCGTCGTCACCCACTGGCCACTAGTTGCATGGGTACCTATTTAGTATTCGCAGCGACAATATTTTGAAATTTAGTCTATTATATAGAGACATTTTTTATATAGTATAGTGTATAGTATATTATTTATTAGTTTAGTTTTTATATAACTATATATTTTTTTAACGAATTTTTAATGAGATTTGGGCGCGACGGAGGTACCAAAACTCCTTTTAGCTCCGGCAAGCTTTCCTCATCTTCACCATTTTTTTAGGCCACGAGCCGCCGCTGATATTAAGAACAACAAGAGCCAAGAGAAAATGCACTTAAACGGTGGCGAATACAAACTTACATGTGGTGACTGCACAAAAACTTACATCGGTCAAACTGGTAGATCCTTTAACAAACATATAGCAGAACACAAAAGGGTTTTCAATAATAGAAAAACTGATTCTACGTACGCATTTCACCTTCTATGTCATAATCATCCTTTTAATGACCAATTCTAAATTCTCCATATTCAAAATAAAGGCCTTAAGCTATCTTTATTAGAATCTATGCAAATTAATAAATTAACAAATACAGATATAATTCAGAATGACCAACTTGGAACAAAGAGCTATCCCCCTCAACGAATTCAATCTATAAAGTGTAGACGAATAATGAAAATATGTACATCACTTGAGAAAAGCATAAGAAACCGTGTTTCATCGTGAACTGTGAAACATCGAAAAGGATAAATGAGTTGTGTGATATATCCATCTTAGTATCATGAATCTCATATCTGACTAAACGGAGTAGCTGAAGTGACAACGTATTAATGATCTGTGACCATTAATTTCAATTTATTACTATTTTGCGGTGGTTTTATAAGTAAAGACAAGTGAAAATCAGACTGAGGAAATAAATAGGAGTAAAAGACACTGTCTTAACGATATTTGAGATACTATGTTATGTACTAAATATTCTTACAAAATCTTAAGCTGACATTAAATCAATCTACCTGTTCTAATATACGGCTCTTAAAATGAAAAATGGCAAAAATATAAAAGAGCGATGGAAAGACATTCATTACATAGAAATAAAACTCTTAGCCCGGAAAAAATAGTTACAAAATTACAAACTGATGACATGTAGATCACAATAATTATATCCTAAAGAGAAAAAAATCGATAGCTAGGTAGATATTATAAGATCGTTAATCAAATTTGATTCAGATTACTCAAGATAGAGAGGAGAAAATCAAGAGAATATTCAAAAATATGTGTTTTATGGCTAATTAAATAGATGATATTACATAGCAAATTAAACCAAATTGAAATAAGCATTTGTTAGATAATTTGGAATGTACTTCCTCGACATTAATACTCATGTTTTCTCAGGTACTACCCAGTCGAATTCTAACATTATGGTTAATACCACTGCTGGGGTAGGAGCGAATGTTGGACAGAATAATGTTTATAGACCACAAGGAACCCAAGGTTTGCTTTTACTAAATAAAACATATTTCAATCTAATAACATCTCTTCTTAGGTATGAATATGCCGCCGCAAAAAGGAGTAGGTGTAGTAAATGTACCAGGAGGTCGAATGATGGCCAATAATCAAATATCAATGATGCAAGTTAACGCTCCGCCTGGTTATCATGCCACAGGTAAGACTAAATAATACTATTTATAATATACAACTTCCATATACTTAATTTTTTTTTAATTGAAATTTAATTATAATAAAGATCGTTAATAATATAGTTTTATGTTGCAAATGATATATTATTTTTTAGTGCGGTATGCCCATGTTTTGCCATAATTGGCGTCGCTTATTGGTTGAAAGTCATAAAGTTTCAGTTTATTTCCATTTTAACTAAACGTAATCTAATAGCATATACTTCATCAATCATTAACTAAACATAATCATAAATAGGGGGTTTGCTGACCCGGGAAACTTGTTTAGGACACCTTATCCAGGGTTACGGATGAAGTCCACACCGGCAGCCACGGCGGAGAAGCAAAACTTCGGTACGGTGCGGATGGCGTAAGCGGCAACCCTCGATTTTCGGGTTGATATAGAATCAAGTCAAATACTGGCCAACAGTTTCGGGCGGAAGAGTTGGTAGATGTAAGGGCACTCTTTTGTCCTGAAATAGAGAAATCTATCTCGAAGACGGATGAACCAAGGAATGGTCAACGGCATAAGGATGCAGAAGGCAACGGGGAACCACTGCATTAAAGACTCGTAGAGTACCGCTAGAAATCGTCATGGTAGTTAATGACAAGCATCACTGTACTAATCATGGTTCTCGGATGCCAAGATTCGGCAGTGGGAGAAATAACAATGATGACAGGGCCCCTCAGGTCGTTAACCAACTTTTAAATAACGGAAAATTCAACTTTTAAAATAGCGACATGGAATGTTAGAAGCATATATAAGCCTGGTAAACTAAGGGACATAGAACAAGATATGATGCGACTTAAGATAAACATATTGGGAATAAGTGACACAAGATGGCTCGACTCCTGTAAACTAAATACAACCAATGGTCTACTTTTCTACTCTAGTAGTACCGACAGCCAATATCGGTATGTAATCGGGTGTTAATGTCAGTAAAAAAGTTGCAAAATCAGTTGTAGGCTTTATACCAATATCGGAAAGAATTATGCTAATACAAATGATGACAACACATGGGAAATTAAACCTTATTCAGATTTATGCGGCAACCGTCGATGAGGAATAAATTGAAAAATGACCTTCAAAAAACCTACAAAATACGACATCTAGAGATATAACAGTAGTCATGGTTGATTTTAACGCCAAAGTTGGAGAAGGAAGATGTGAGTCTACTGTAGGACCATATGGGCTCGGAGTTGGAAATGAGAGAGGAGAACGCCTTATAGAATTCTGCCTAGAACATAATCTTGCGGTAATGAATACTTTCTTTAAACTGCCTAAACGACGCCTTTACACTTGGAAATAGCCAGCTGACAAGGTCAATAAAATCGTTAAAAACCAAATTGACTATATTTTAATAAACCTCAGATACCGAAACGCAATACAATCGGTGAAAGTGTACCCAGGTGCAGACGTGGCGTCGGACCACAATCCTATTGTAGCAAAATTCTAACTTCATTTAAAAAAGATACAAAAAGCTACAAAAGTGATAAACTAAATATACAAAAATTAAAATCAGAAGACGTCAAAGAAAAACTGAAACAAGAAATGAATGCAAACCTAGAATCCACACCAAAGAATGCCAAAGAATGTAGTGATTATCGAACGATCAGTCTAATGTCACATACCTTAAAAACTCTGCTAAAATCATCCATCCATAATAGAATACACGGTAAGCTGGAGATGGATATTAGTCATTCCCAGTTTGGATTTCGGAATGGAGTTGGCACAAGATTGGCACTATTTTCTTTTAACGTGCTGACCCAAAGATGTTTGGATGTTAATCGAGATCTTTATGTATGCTTTATACACTAAAACAAGGCATTCGATAAAGTAAAACATGACCGACTTACAGAAGTACTCAAAAACAAGAATCTGGATTTGAGGGATGTAACATTGATATCAAACTTATACTACAGCCAACGATCAAATGTGAAAATTGGAAGAGAAGTGTCAGAAGAAGTGGAGATAAGGAGAGGGGTCAGGCAAGGTTGCATACTGTCGCCGTTATTGTTTAATGCTTATTCTGAAGAAATCATACAAGAAGCTTTGGTAAACGAGATAGTCGGCATAAAAGTGAACGGAAGTTTAATTAACAACATTAGGTATGCCGACGATACAGTCATAATAGCCGACAACTTGGAAGACTTAAAAAGAATAATTAACAAAATATTAAGATATAGTGGAGAATACCGACTCTATCTTAACATCAAAAAAACCAAATTCATAAAAATTAGCAAGAACAACAATACAAACGAAATATTAACGGTAGGCGGCCAGCAGATTGAGAGAGTAAAAAGATATACTTACTTGGGAACGATAATCACAGAAAATAACGATTATACTGCAGTGATAAGAGTCAGAATTGAAAAATCACGTGCCAACTTCGTGAAAATGAAAAAGATTTTATGCAGCAAAGATCTGACATTGGCCCTCAGATAAGGCGAATTAAATGCTATGTACACAGTGTACTCTACTATGGAGCTGAATCATGGACATTAAACCGGAATACAATAAATCGACTTAACGCGTTTGAAATGTGGACATTTAGAAGATTGTTAACGATTCCATGGGTAGAAGTGTTCAAACCAATTTGAAATTATATGGTAGTGCTCACTAATCTGTAATATGTAGCTTTTGAAGAAATGGAAGAAGTTACATGTAGGTACCTACCGAAATTAATTTTATTAACATGTGAAGTTTTTTATTAGATTCTCGTAGGGTCTTCTGACATAATTGCCACAATTGATAGCATTGCTCTTGAGTGATCCTTTCTTCAGGTAGCTGTAGCTTCCTCCGTGGCTGTGTACAGTCACCAGGCTGCATTGCAGGGACTTCTGACAGTGCTGTCATAATTGGTCGCATGGCTCCATACCATGGTAGATCCTTACCCCAGTTAATTTGCTCCTTTTCTAACTTGGCTGCACCGTACTGATGGCCAAATAGTCAGAAATATAGCATTTTTCATATAAAAATGCTTGCACGTCACAATTTATATAAAGTGACGTCACATATTTAAAATTTCCAGAACGTCAACCTTAGAGTTCAAATTTTCGAGCTAATAATACGAAACCCATACGGAACTTCTCAATATTTCATAGGCGTCAACATGGTGTAATAATCAGAAAAATGTAATCATAATTATATTGGAAATTTTAGAATTATATTGATTAAATAACCAAAAACATTTTTTATTATTAATAATATAAATTTAATAATAAAATAAAATAAAATAATTTAATAATAAAATAAAGTCTAATATTCCACAAAATAATAATTTTAATTAAATAGATCAGACAATTGTACGCAACTGATACGGGAATACTTCAAATTTCAATATTTCAAATGCGACAGTTCAGTGTGTGAAAGTGTATAAAGTTTTGCCGCTTTTTTAGAGTAAGAATTTTGTTTATGTTTTGATTTCTTACACAATTTGATCGTAATATAATATATATTAATAAATTGTATTTATAAATACATATTAAATTTAGGTTAATAGCTTTAAAACTAATTATTGTTGTGTATTGTGATTGTGCTCTGCCAAAACAGCTAAATAGTCTGTAGAAAGTTGATAAGCTTTCATATAAGATAAATTATTTTGAACAAGAAATAATGGTGGGACGTTTTTACTATTAAAGCCTAAAAGAGGTAAGTTTAAAATTTAGAATATATAATTTTGTATTAAAATGTTTTCTTATGTTTTTTAGTGTGTTGCGGTAGTCTTAAAACTAAGTGTATTTACTGTTAATATACTAGTTTGACAAATAGTTGACATTTTAAAAATCCCTTACTTACTAACTATTCTGATTTTTTTTTTCAACGCTGTGGGGTTCTGACGTCGTAAATCTTGAATGACGTGCAAGCATTTTTATATGAAAAATTCTATACTTATTTACGGTTGCCTTTCACCTTTATCTATTTTCTTTTGTATTTGCATTGTGAGCCTTGCCAATGATCTTTCCTTATCTACATTATACTAGTTCCCGTATTAATTTTGGCGTTTCTTTCCTCAGGTAGTGAGGGGTTTTCTTCATCGTGGTGTTAGTTGTAGCTCTAGAACGTAGGGTCCTCTAACATTTTTACCACAATTGGTAATATTGCTTCTGAGTGACCCTTTCCTCGGGTAGCTGTAGCTTCCTCCTTGGTTGTGTTGCAGAGTCAGCAACCTGGACTGCAGCTGTAGATCCTTTCATAAGTTAATTTACTCATTTTCTCACTTGACTTCACCGTACTGATCACGACCAAATAGTCAGAAATACTTATTTTTCGGTTGCCTTTCACCTTTATTTATTTTCATTGTATTTGCATTTTGAGTTTTGCAACTGATCTGTTTTTTGTGAAAGTTATTTTACAGGTTATAGGTTATAAATGACTTACTGGTATTACTCGCACTAAATTTTTGAAACCTAATAACACAACAAGGAAGGCAAAACTAAAACAAACAGTAGACAAGCATTTTAATTCATTTTTGAATTGAACATTTTTATTTTTAGGACATGTTGATATTAACAGAACATCTCCCCATTGGCCAATGGCACCGCCAATCCAACAGGTCAGACCATATATTCCACAAACAAACCAGCAAGTAAATACTACACAAGGAAGTGCGCTCATTGCGCAGCTGACGCAGCCTCCATCTTCAATGTCTGGAACTGTTTTGCGAGTTTTGCCACTGATCTGTTTTTTGTAAAAGTTATTTTACAGGTTGTAGGTTGTAAATGACATACTGGTATTACTCGCGCTAAATTTTTGAAACCTTATAACACAACAAGGAAGGCAAAATTAAATCAAAAAGTAGATAGGCATTTTAATTCATTTTTGAATTGAACATTTTTATTTTTAGGACATGTTGATATTAACAGAACATCTCCCCATTGGCCAATGGCACCGCCAATCCAACAGGTCACACCATATATTCCACAAACAAACCTGCAACTAAATACTACACAAGGAAGTGCGCTCATTGCGCAGTTGACGCAACCTCTATCTTCAATATCTGGAACTGTTTGACGAGTTTTGCCACTGATCTGTTTTTTGTAAAAGTTATTTTACAGTTTATAGGTTATAAATGACATACTGATATTACTCGCACTAAATTTTTGAAACCTAATAACACAACAAGGAAGGCAAAATTAAAACAAACAGTATACAAGCATTGTTCACGCCTTTATCTAATTCAAGTTTATTTTATGCATTTTTACAAACCGGCAACACAGCAGCGTATGAAGATATTATGCCATATGTGAAGATAAGGCGAGCCCCTAAAAGCACCCCAAAGACGACCGCACTCAAATATGAGAATTCGAGACCGGCGGACCACAATACTTATTAGCGTTTATATTCATGTATTGTTAATTAAAATAAAGTCAGTTTTTCACACGGAGTTTGATTATTTACCAGCGGCACACGCGAAGTGCAATCAAGTCATTCCAAGCATTTTAATTCATTTTTGAATTAAACATTTTTTATTTTTAGGACATGTTAATATTAACAGAACATCTCCCCATTGGCCAATGGCACCGCCAATCCAACAGGTTAGACCATATATTCCACAAACAAACCAACAAGTAAATACTACACAAGGAAGTGCGCTCATTGCGCAGCTGACGCAGCCTCCATCTTCAATATCTGGAACTGGTGTAAATCAGTTTGGTCAAAGTTAGTATATGTTTGTCCTCGTTTACTGGAATTGTAGCCAATTTTTAGAGTTTAACCACTAGAATTAAATAACGTAAACAAATTATCATTTTTACTGTTAAGGAAATATATGTTTCTTTAAATATTTGGGCAATACTTTTTTCTACATTCTAGAATTATAATCCTTATAGTTCATTTATTTTTTTAGTGACTACTAACTCTCCAATTAATAAGATAAATATGCCTCCACAATCGAACGTACAGACTTCCATGCCACAGAATCAAATCTCTATTCAAACCTCAATGGCTCAAGTATCGCAAGCAAATGCTATTGCAACATCTCAAGCACAGATTTCACAGGTATAAAAAGTTTTTTTCTCATGTAAATAAAATATTGAGGAAATTTTTATGTCTTATTTACTAATTGTACTATTATCATTCTTAATTTATTTTTAGAATATGTCCCAAGGAGTTCAAGGTGTCCAAAACGTCCAAGGTGTTCAAGGTGTACAGGGAGTACAAGGGCAACAGCAACCAATACGCGAAAGACATACAATTTGGCAAGGCTTGCTAGAGTGGATAGAAAAACCAAAAAATGCCACAGAACAGAAAACTACAAAACATGTACCTTGTCAAGTGTCCGCAAACTCAAAAGATGGAGAGCCCGAATTGTAAGTTTAATTCATTTTATGAAAAAATTGCAGTATATTGTATCACAGCTGAAATATTAACGACGTCTATCATCTATTAGAATTGTTGATGATTTCTTAAAACAGACATAAATAATGTTAACTTTGTGAATCAAAATGACTATATTCTTCTGTAAGTTACACAGACGTTTTCCATCGATTCTCCAATTTATTTATCTCATTACTGAAGTGATTGTACTGAAGGTCCTCAAAATACCCATCGATATCTGCAATAAATTCTTCATATAATACAAAATGTTTTCCACATAAAATTGTTTGTTAAAGTTTGGCAACAGATGAAATTCGGGGGAATCAAGACCTGATGAATGAGTGGATGCTCCAAGTGTTCGTATTTAGTTGAACCAATTTTGCTTTAACTGTTATAAGTAGGTGCATTGGTTTTTTGATAAATTATTATTTTCTTCTAAAAAGAAGTTTTCAAACTTCTTTTTAGAAGTCAATCTTCTTCTTCCTCTTTATAAGCAATTCTGCTTGTTCATTGGCGGATTAATACCTCTATGGAAGATTATCACTGCATCTTTTGCGCGGTCGTCCGATACTTCTTTTGCTGATTGGTGACTTATCTCTTGCTATGTTGACGACATGAGTCTCCTCGATTCTACTTTTGTGGTTATTCTATTCTTTTTTTTTCTATTTTGTGTCCATTCATTTGTAGACTGTATATTATATTTTCTTGTAATGTCTTCTCATTTCTGACGTTTCCAATAGTCTGTGCGTTGTGGCTGTATAGGGTCTTGTTTCTGAGGCATATGTCATTATTGGTCTTACAATGGCTTTGTAAATTCTTGACTTCAACGCGGTGTTAATGTACCTGTTTTGTCATAAAGTGTTATTAAGGCATCTTGCCAGTCTATTTGCTTTTTGCTGGGCAGTGTAATTCCCAGGTATTTTATTTCCATTACTTGTTCAATACTGACGCCATCAATTTTTATTTTACATCTGGTTGGTTCTTTGCTGACTACTATTGTTCTAGTTTTCGTAGATGAGCTCGTCATATTTAATTCTTTTGCGTTTATGTTAAATGTATGGACCAGTCGTTGCAGGCTATCTTCATCTTGGCCTATCAATATTGCGTCGGCTGCGTAACAGAGTAATCAATTATAATCAAGTGTTTTCCATTCTGTATCCTCTTCCTTTGTTAACGCTTGTGATAAGTTCATTTATGATTAAATTAAAGAGCATGGAGCTCAATGAATCCCCTTTTCTTATTCCGCTACCTATTTCTATAGGTTCTGTAAGTTGTCCATCTATTCTGACTTCCATTTTGTATCTTTGGTAGATGTTTAGGGTAGGGTAACTTCTCTATTATACACAAGATGGATTATATCTTTGAGTGTTACTCTGTAAAACGCTTTCTTTAGGTCAGTCAGACGCAGAAATGCTGGTCTATTATACTCTTGTGATTTCGCAGTAATTTGATTTATAACGAATATTGCATTTGTACACGATCTTCCACTACAAAAACCCTGTTCTTCATCGGCTAACAAGTTTATTCCTCTGCAGTATTAAGTTCTTTATTTGTGGTAATTTCTGGTGTTTCCAGTTCTAGCATCGTTTGTTCTTCCTCTATATAGAGCTTTTTCAGGTAGTCAATCCACGTATCATTTTCTATGTGCTTTGGTTCTATTAGTTCCTTTACCTCCGTTCTTTGAATTCTTATGAAGCGCCGTATTTCCTTTTGTAGACCGTAAAAATCATATTTTAATTTTGAATCGCGATTGGTCCCCCTTTCTTTTTTATTTTTTAATTTCAAATTCTGTTCAGTTCTTCGATACCCTATTGTGTCGGTTTATTGATTTTAATAAAATTTTGCTAAATTCAGCAAAAACGATTCACGTTTTTTTGTCTGCTTTTAAGTGATGCCCATCTACTCTATGGACTTGTATATCCGAGGGCGCAAACTCCCGAATACCTTATTGCAGAGTTGCGAGGTAACCGCAAAAATTGTTTTTAATTGGTGTAGGGTTCGGGATTGTTTATATACTTTTGATTCTAGAGAGCCACAAGAAGTAATCACATGAGGTGAAGTCGGGCGATCTAGGAGGCCGAAATATGTCTCACGAGTCTTGATATGCATTTTTGTTAAAACAAAATAATTCAGTCTTAATTTAATCACGCCTTAATTGTTACGTTGAAGAATTTTGACGGATTATTTGATACTACATTTTATCGTCATGTCTATTTTGCGCTGAGTAGAAAAAGCGGGTAGTATTCTTTAAACACAAGTTTTTTGTAAAACACTCATAGCTCAAAGTTTGTACTACTTGAATTTTATCAGGATGGAAATACATTGTTTTGTTAATTATCACATATACAGAGATTTGTCGCAGTATAACGTGATAAATATTAAATTATACTATGATTTTTAAGAACCCAATCACGGACATGTCACGCATTGTCTTTGGCTGAAGGTAAAACTTATTGTATAAATTTTTATTAGGTATTGTTTTATTAAATTTACACTCAGTACCTCTGGTCGCCAAATATTATACCGAGAGTAAAATTTGCACCGGACTGCAGAGTATATTCACCAATTTTACAAGATTAGTGGAGTATCTGGTTCTCCATATTATTTATTTCTTGTGCTAATCAAATTTATACATTTATTTTTGCAATATTTTATCGGAATAATACAATTCATGTAAAATAAAGACTTTCCATAACTTTCTGTCTTTCAGACAAGAAGCCGTTATTATTCTCAGAAAATATAGTAAAACTAAGAAACCGTATACAGTTTTTAGCATAATCCATTTATTTTTAGGAAAGCTGATGGTTGGCCACAAAAGCTTATAATGCAACTAATGCCTAAACAGCTTATCGGTAATATAGGAGGAGCATATTTAAAGAATTCGAAATCTGTATTGTTTCATCCACAGCCTTGCGACGCCCTTGAATCTCTCACTAAAGTTATGAGCTCAGGATTTGTAAGTGTTGTTATATAATTTTTTTTTTTGGTTCTAAATAATGTATTGTTTCGTGCAGTTTATTCAAAAATACTCTAGGATTCTAAATTACAAGGATTATTCATAATATAACTGCAACACAATTAACTTTTATAAAAAAAACGTTAACGTGACACTTCGTTACCTTCAAATATTCGCCCTTCATACCATGTCGGGCATTTATATAGTAATAGTACAAGATCCCTCTGAAGGATCACTATTTTCATAACGTAGGTAATCAAATTCACATTTTACATAAATTTAAAATTAGGAGAATACATTGATAATGGGTTGCCAGTCGTTGCGTTCTTTATTTTACTTTATCTTTGACACCTCGCGTTTTTAAGACCTGGTAACCTTAATTTGAGACCATTTTTCTTAGGCAACCTTATATCATCTTATTAAGAAAAAAATAGCTTTAATTTGATATAAAAAACATGCATATACGTCATGAGCAGCGTATTTTATTTAAATAATCATTATCAATGTATTCTTTTAATTTTAAATGTATGTAAAAATGTGAGTTTATTAACTACGTTATGAACGTAGTGATACTCCAGTGGGACCTTAGACCATATTGATTTAGTCTGAAATACCAAAGATAAGCTATACCAAAAATAGTCAACATCATTCATACAATATTACGGTTTAGATTAGCTTAAGAACAATCTTTACAATATATTATTCCTAATAATAATATCCGTTACTCTATCTATATTTTTGTTCATATTTTTGTTAATATTTTTAGGCCGGATGTGTACATTTCACAAGTGTTGCACCTTGCGACATTAAAGTTCTTATATTGTTGTATACGTCGGATAAAAAGGCATATTTGGGTTTTATACCAAATGATCAAGTGGCGTTCGTAGATAGACTAAGAAAAGTGATTCAGCAACAAAAATCAACACAGCAAATGAGACAGGTAAGGAAATATCAACCTTAATTTAAAGTTTGTGACTTAAATTGCATTAAGTTTAGTCTTTAGTCTAGTTAGTTTAATAAATAGTTTAATCGTTCCTTTATAATATAATGAGAATTATTCCATTAAAGTTTTATAAATAAACTCATGGACAAAAATATCGAATATTTTGAAATTTTTCAATTCTTTTTGTGTAGTCACTATTATTTCAAAGTAATTTTAGATTACTGATTTTACTCATATAGTAGACTGATAAACTCAATTGGTTTGAAATAATCATGAATGTGTTGCTTGTGTGAGTCCATTTCAAATAGGTAAAGAAATAATAAATATGACTTACTCACAATCAATTTAATTTAACTATCAGACGACCGGTTTCGCTTTCTACAATATGCAAAGCATCTTCAGGTCTCGATACAAAGTTAAATAAATGCTGAAATGATAAAAACCCATATTAGGGTGTTGTCTAATAAAGATAAACAAAGTAGATGTTGGAAATTACAATAATTATGCCAATATTACATGTCTGTGGTTTTATTTCAAAAAGAGTAAGTTGAATAAAAAAGTATAAAAAGTTTAAACAGACAAGGTAAGACCCACAAATTGTTATAAAATAGTCTATTAGATTGTAATATTAATAAATGAGCAAATAAATAAACATTACTTACATGCCGGTACTCTATTAATTAATGGATGGTAGAACATGGTTGAAACTACTATGTATTGTTGAATGAAGAACGCAATTCTGCTATTGTAGTTGTTTGACAGTAAACGGGAAGTTCTTGAGGTGATAGATTTGATCCAATGAAGCAGAGATATGTGTGTGATTGTTTGTTAAATGGAAGTGATGTTATATACCATTGTATTATTTAAAAGTTATTTATACTTATTCGAGAGATATATTTATGAAATGTGTGTTATTTATTGAGTAATTGTTTTATGAAGGTGACAGATTTATGACAATGAATAAGTTTAGATGTACAAATTGTGTGGGTGTGCAATTATGTTTCAACTTGTATACAAGGTTGTATACATATTATATAATTGTATACAAGTTGAAAAATAATTGCACACCCACACAATTTGTACATCTAAACTTATTCATTGTCATAAAACTGTCACCTTCATAAAACAATTACTCAATAAATAACACATATTTCATAAATATATTTTCATTTTACACATTTTCATTGTATACAAGTTGAAAAATAATTGCACACCCACACAATTTGTACATCTAAACTTATTCATTGTCATAAATCTGTCACCTTCATAAAACAATTACTCAATAAATAACACACATTTCATAAATATATCTCTCGAATAAGTATAAATAACTTTTAAATAATACAATGGTATATAACATCACTTCCATTTAACAAACAATCACACACATATCTCTGCTTCATTGGATCAAATCTATCTCCTCAAGAACTTCCCGTTTACTGTCAAGCAACTACAATAGCAGAATTGCGTTCTTCATTCAACAATACATAGTAGTTTCAACCATGTTCTACCATCCATTAATTAATAGAGTACCGGCATGTAAGTAATGTTTATTTATTTGCTCATTTATTAATATTACAATCTAATAGACTATTTTATAACAATTTGTGGGTCTTACCTTGTCTGTTTAAACTTTTAAAACTTTTTATACCTTTTTATTCAACTTACTCATTTTGAAATTAAAACCACAGACATGTAATATTGGCATAATTATTGTAATTTACAACATCTAATTTGTTTATCTTTATTAGACAACACCCTAATATGGGTTTTTATCATTTCAGCATTTATTTAACTTTGTATCGAGACCTGAAGATGCTTTGCATATTGTAGAAAGCGAAACCGGTCGTCTGATAGTTAAATTAAATTGATTGTGAGTAAGTCTTATTTATTATTTCTTTACCTATTTGGTTTGAAATATTTTGACGTTTATTCAGCATTTAGTGACATTCGTGCATTTTATCATAAAAAACCTTTACGTAAAGGGGAAAAAAGGGAAAAAATCATAGTAATTCGGTTATTTTTAGTTTAATCTATTAAGTTTGATTAAATATTGTTTTGATTCAAATAAATTTAAAACAAATATGCCACCAATTCGACACCGCGATGAAGCGCGAGCAGCACAGATTGTAATTTTGTACGAGGAAGGATATACACCAAAAAATATCGCACGGCGTCTCAGGAGAAGTCAATCTACAGTTTCGAATATTTTAAAAAGGTACCATGAGACAGGCAATTTTATACGAAGGCCTGGTCAAGGACGTCCAAGGTGCACAACTGCAGTTGATGACCATTTTTGGCTCTTAATTCTACAAGAAATCGCTCATTGACATCGATGAACCTCAGAAATGAGCTCCTAAATGTCAGACAAGTTAATGTGAGCTCAAAAACAGTTAGACGAAGATTAAAACAAGCAGACTTAAAGCCTAGACGTCCTGAAAAAGTTCCACGTCTTTTCCAAAATTATAAAGCTCTTCATTTAGAATTTGCAAGAAGACATATTCATTGGAATAACAACAACTGAAAAAATGTTCTTTTCACTGATGAGACCAGAATCCTATTATATAAGCCAGATGGTCGAAACCACGTCTACAGAAGTGTTGGAGAACGATTCGCCACCTGCAATCTTACACAGACCGTTAGTTTTTGGAGGTGGTGGCATAATGCTTTGGGGAGGTATTAGTTGGGAGGGACGCACCGCACTTGTGGAAGTGACTGGACGAATGACTGGTGACACTTACGTTCAAAATATTCTGCAAGATCATGTTTTGCCATATGTTGGTTACATCGGATGTGACAGATTCATGTTAATGCACGATAATGCTCGACCACATGCTGCTGCCATAGTAAGTAATTATCTTGATGAGATCCAAATTCAAATATTGTGGGATCAGCTACATACAGCATACGACAAAGAAATCCCGTTCCAAATACGATAGAACAGCTTCGGCTTACTGCACAGGATGAATGGAATGCTATTTTCCAAGGGTATGTTCAAAATTTACTTGCAAGTATTCCAAGAAGGATGGAAGCAATAATAAAAGCTAGAGGGGGAATACTCGTTACTGAACATGTACTTGTTTCAATTAAAAATACTTGTTTAACCAATTTAAGTTAGCATTTAAGTTTAGACTAAAACAAAATCTTATTTACCTAGCATTAAGCAATATTGCTTTTTCACAATAAACGACTTGATTGACCAGCATTTATCATAAAAAAAAAATAGAAAATTCCAAAATATTCGATATTTTTGTCCAGGAATGTATAACAACAAAATTGGTATCTACACAAATAAATTGAGATTAAAAATCGAAGGAGACATCTTTTTCCGTTCTCAGAAGATATTTTATATTATTGACAATCAAAAGATTTTTTAAGCTTAAAAACGTAGGCCTGAAATAAGTCGTTTTTCATTGATCAGATGCGGTAGCTATACAATTTTTGGTGTCAAAAAGAAATGCTTATTTTTGTTAACGTAACAGGTAGATGGATCCCTAAATTCTGTGGATAGTTTGCTTTTCAAAACTTTAATCCTTTAGTTTTGGCTGGTATTATTTTCTCTCAAGTAGATTATCGTTCAATTGATAAATGTTAATTAATCAAACTATACAGTATTTGCTACATCTGACATTATTTCGTCTACAATAAATTCAAAGATACAATTATATTTTGAATTTTAGAACACTTATTATACACCTGGATTAAAATATATCTCAAGTACGTCATAAATTTTGTAACGTCAAGTATCTATAGCATTGTCATATAATACCATTATGATGAAATTATACCAATATAGGTAAATATTGCGTTTATATGGGATTTAAGTCATAATTTATTGTAATGTAAATTGCATTTTATAATTGTTGTTTGACTTTTCGATGTACCATAACTTCGTCAACAACTTTGGCATTTATACATTCTTTTTAACAAAATTCTTAAATAATGTTTTTTGAGAACGATAAGTGGGAATCAAAACGTCAAATTTTGTTAGCACTCAACTATATTACTATATATGCATAGGTCCTTTGCATAAGTCTTTAATTTGATCGATCCATCTTGTTGGAGATCTTCGTGATCTTCGGCCTTCTACCTTTCCTTGGATAATCTTTTCATGTTTTCTGTTTCTGCTCTCATAAGATGTCCAAAGTATTTCAATTGTTGGAGATGGACTTTGCTGGATAGCCGTCTGCTGACTTTTAGCTCATTTAGAATTAAAATATTTGACCTGTGGTCAGTCCACGGAGTTCGTAACATTCTTCTCCTTCAAAACATTTCAGTGATGTCTATTTTTCTTCTTTCCACTTATCGTAGGGTGCAAGATTCATATCTGTATGTCAAATAAGTGTTATAATCAGTGTTAAATGACTCTAAGTGTTACCAATTTATTCCAAAGGGTCATTTTCGTTCGATTGCAGATAGCACTTATACAAACTAAATGAAACAAGTTATGGTGTATTTCTTTAAGTTTACGTTAATAGAAATATTCAAATATTATTTCTACGCGTATATAATAAAATATGTCTAGTGGCTGTAATTCTACTATACTTGGCTAAAAGATTCTAAGAGGGAACATACCTGTGACTTAAATATTTTGTGTTGGTATCATGTGACATCACTTACTATGACGCAATGACTTGCATCGAGATTTATACTGTACCAACTGTACATACATTATTAAAATGTAAATATACATATTACTAAGAACATTTAATCGAACCAAATAACAAAACAGTCTTAACCAACCAGGTCATGCATCGCTAATGCTTTTGTCTTAAACAGGAGAAAAAGTAATTGCACGCGGAGAATTTTATGTAATATTCATAGATTTAATATGGCATATGTCAATGAGCCTGTTGGAAAGTTGTGGCAGGCTATGGAAGATAAGGGCGTATCTTCAGTGTTTGTAAACGCAGTAAGACAGCTGTACAAAAACAAAAAAAAAGCAGAGTGAAAATTGGGTCATCTTTGCCAGACAAATTTATGGTAAATAAAGGATT